TTTAGGGGCAGGGTCCCAGGAGGGGGTAGTCAGGGGACAAGGAACGGGGGGAGGGTTGGGAGGTCAGGGGGGGGCGGGAAGTGGGAGGGGCAGGGGCGGGGCTAGGGCGGGGCTCCTCCCGTCCTCTTTTTTGCTCGCTGAAATATGGTAACCCTACTGAAACACCGGCACGATTGGGCCTGGATCTTGAATGGTGCCTCTAGGTAGCACTATCATGCTATTAAATAGCAGTAATAACCAGTGGCCATTATTAGAGCCCCTTCTTTCTCCATCATGCCATTTTGTGGCACTGAGAAGCACGCTGTGGCAGCAGGATCACAAAGTTCTTTTAGGTACCTAAATGAGGGCGAGATTTTCCTGAATGCCCCTCCTCTAAAATACTGAGCAAACCATGCCATTCTCCATCGCCCATTTGAAACATTTCCCAGCATGCACCTTGGCGCTTTCCCCCATGCTGCCCCTTCATGCATGGCGGGAGCTGCCTGTGAACATCCTCAAAGCCACCTTGCTGTCCTTCCACCCTTGTTAGCCCCCATTTGCTGTGCACTGCAAAATGTTCCCCAGGGGCTGTGCAGTTGGTGAGCTGGGAGTGCTGCTGAGTATGCAGATTGCAAGCAGTTCATTGGTTCCCTTTGCTCTCCCTGTCTCTTGGTTTAATTCTGCCGGTGGCTATGATCTAACATCAAGGCTTTATCTGCTCACCCAAGTTGTGCTGTGCCTGGGTAGTTCAAGTGTTGCATCCCCCTAGTGTAGACACAATTATACTGGGATTATTGTGCTTTTGGCCAGTATAGCTATTCCCTAAGCTGTACCAGGATAAGGCACCTTTATCCTGGTATAACTGCATCCACACTAGGCGCTGTCCCAGTATAACTAGATCAGTTAAAAAAATCACCCCCGGCATTGCTTATAGCAGGAGAAAGGCTCGGTGTAGACCTGGCTGTTGACTGCAAGCTCTTTGAGTCAGGGAACAGTCTCTTTGTTACGTTTGGACGGTGCCCAGAAGAATGGGGTGCTGGCCCATTGGCACTACCACACAGGGCCGCCCAGAGGGGGGGGCAAGTGGGGCAATTTGCCCTGGGCCCCACAGGGGCCCCCACGAGAATATAGTATTCTACAGTATTGCAACTTTTTTTTATGGAAGGGGCCCCTGAAATTGCTTTGCCCCAGGCCCCCAGAATCCTCTGGGTGGCCCTGCTACCACAGTGCAGCCTAAGTGGGATCTGAGCTGTGAGAAGTTGTGGGTGCTGAGCGCCGTCCTGGCAGCACTACACTCACATCATGAAGCCGTTTGCTTGATCAAAGATGGCAGCACTGGCTGTGTCTCTATTTAAAAATGCTGCTTGATGTTCCATTGCCCCCCAGATCAAGTGAACCCAGATGTCAGATATAAACTTCACTGGGACGGTGGAAGCCAAGAAGATGATCCAGACACTTGGGAGCAGACTCTGTTGCTCTTCCTCTTTCTCCACTACTCAGACCAGTTTCAAGATAAGCCATTTTATGATTTCTGTATGTATAAAATCGCTTGACTGTTTTCTAGGGTAACATCCCAGCCCAAATATTGGGCTTGTCTTCCCCTAGAGGCTGGAAACAAAAACTGCAGTGTTGTATATGATTAGTTCCTAGAGCCCCCAACCAAGATCAGGGCCCCTATTGTGCCAAGAGCTGCACAGACCCCGACTGAGATCAGTGTCCCAGCGTGCCGGGTGCTGCACAGACCCCACCGAGATGAGGGTTCCTTGCGTGGCAGGCACTGCACCAGCTCCAAAGGAGGTGGGGGTCCCCAGCATGCTGGGTGCTGTACAGACCCCAGTGCAGTGCTACGGGGCACTATGCTCCTGGGAACATGAGAGAGCCCTGTTGCTGTTGCAGGGTTTGTGCAGCACCTGGAAGGACAGGGCCCTGCTCTCACTCAGGATCTGTGCAGTACCTGGCACACTGGGGTCCTGGTCTTGTTTGGATCCTCGGGGCAACCCTGCAACATAAATAATAACTGATTTGCCTTTGGGATTTGACCTGTTTTTTGACTCCTTGGATCATCATTGCCTAAAAATGACTCTTCCCTAAGCAAACCAAACCCAATGTAAACGAACCCCGAACTGTTGTGACTCAGGGACCCGGCGCATGATTGCATCCCATATGGACCAGATTCTCCTGTGCAGCCAGGAGGCAGTGAAGCGTGGAGTCCAGGCTGTCATTGACGCAATGCTACAGGAGCACTGCAAGAGAGGGAAGGTAGGAGCTTGTACTGGTATGTGTATTAGGTAGCACAGAACCCATGGATCTGAGATCACAGGGTCAGCTCTTCTATCTGGGCTCCTCTCTCCATTCTCTCTGAGCCTGCTGTCGTATCGGGGTGAGTTTGGCTCTTGCCTGCTCTTTGTGTTCTCATTGTTTTATTACTGGGTCTAGTTGGCTTCACCACATATCCTGCAGCCAGACTTCTGTGAACTGTGCTCTCGGGTAATTTGCCAGCTCAGCAGCGTGGGATTTGGAAGGACATGGATTGGAAATGTTTGTGCAAAACTTCAAGTTCCACAAGAAGTGGTGTGGGTGATTCAGCAGGAGCTGCTCCCTCTTCTGAGTCAGTGAGCTGCTGCGGGCACTGTGCTTCAGAGAGAAGGGTGGGGGAGCCCTCCCTTTGGAGTCAGTACTGAGCCCAGTGTGGCATTAGGGCATGCTATGCTCCATGGAACAGTGCCAGGCCCTCCGTAGGGGGTGCTGTCCTCTTGGGATTAGTCCCAACCCAGTTCTCTAGGGCTGTGCTAGGCGATGCTGTACTGCTGCGGATGACACCATCTGAAAGAGACATAAACCTGCTAGATGGCAGGGTGCTTTTCCTAGGTGTCGGGATGATCCCCCTAAGTGCTGAGCTAATTCCAGTAGGACCACATCCCATTCTGCCCCCTAAGCTTCCCCAACGCAGGATTTGCCTGGGTTTTCTGATCCGTCCCAGGGTGGCCAGGTGGAGGGGTGTCGATGGGAATGGAAATGTGCAGTAAAATGTTCTTGGCCCTTCCCAGAACCAGCAGAGGTTGAAGCTGTCCCGGCCCGTCATCCTAGGTGCCATTTCCAGCGTGGTGTCCAGCAGCACTAACAGCCAGTTCAGACGGGAATGTCTGCAGAGTTTGCAGGTAACTATTGTATGTGGTGGATTTTTTAGGATACTGTTATAATTCTCCATGAGAAGCAGCATGGTCCAATGACTAGCTGTGCTGATTCAGCTGGAACTCAGGGCTACTGGGGTCTATTTATGGCTCAGCCACTGACCTGCTGGGTGATCTTGGGCAAGTCCCTTCCCCTCCTGGGGCCTCAGTTGCCCCTACCACCTTTTGTCTATTTAGATTGTGAGCTCTTCAGGGGAGGCACTCTATCTCACTATGCATCTGTGCAGGGCCTTACACAATGGGGGCCCCAGTCTCACTTGGGGTCAGGGCAGCTCCTGGCAAGACAGGGCCCCAATCTTGGTCAGGGTCTGTGCAGCATCTGGCATAATGATACCCTGATCTCAGTTGGAGTCTGTGCAGCCCCCAACAGAATTGGATGCTGATGAAAGTGGTAGCCTTCCAGGGCTACTATAATATTAATAATGTCATGAGAGGAATCACCAGATGGTGCTGTCACACAGTCGTCCAAGTTGTTTTTGTCGCCTGTGAGCAAGTTTTTAGTATTTGAAGAAATGCTGTGATATTAGTGTTGTGATGCCACGGTTCTTGGAGAGAGTCATGGCAGGTGGCACAGAGTTTGCTGTCTGCTCTGTTCTCTGGATTTGGAGGCAACTCTTGGGGCTCCATTGCTCCTCCCCCCCCCCCCCCGAATTCTGCTCCCCCTCAGCAGAGGGATGAAAACCTCATTATTAGATGAAGTGCTATTGTAGTGCTTGTAAGGGTAAGTGTAGCTTAAGGCCTCTTGCAATCCATGGAGGCATGAGAACTTTTCAAATAAGAGGTCTCAAGAATCCAAAGCACCTTTCCCCGGGTGACTGGATTCTATTAACGTGTGCAGGTTTCAGATACCCCAGAGCTAATGGCAGCCATTCAAACAGCCTTTGAAAATGTCACTCGGAAGCGACTGATGCCCAATGGCACATGCAGCATCACAAAAGTAAGTCAGTTTCACCCTGTGGCTCCCTCTTTGAGGCCTTGTATGCTGATCTGTTTTTGTCTGTCACCATACATATCCACCCACCCACCAACTCCATGCTCATGACCATGGTATGTGAGCACCTTTTAGTCATCAGAGATAGTAGAGATGGAAAGCTTCTACTGAATCCCATGTGGCCGGAGTCCCTACAGACTATTCCCTGTGGATTGTTCCATCAGAAATGGAGACACTCCACATCAGATCCCATCTACCCCATCCCTCTCTGGGACCCAGGGTAGGATTACCCCCCTGTAAATTATCCCCCAGGGCCTTGTCCAGCCTGGTTTTCAATGCCCTTCAGTCTTATATTAGAAAAATATCTTCATCCTGCTATCACCTGCTGCTGGGAAAAAAGCAGTTACTCTCTTGTATTGTAACTGTTGTTCTGCAAGATATGGGTGTAGACCTGTACTCCACTCAGGTATGTGTGCACCCAGCACTCAGAAGCCAGAGAACTTTCCCTAGCAATAACCATAGGGGTGGTGCTCGTGTCCTACGTCCCCTTGGTCCTTCCCCAGGCTGTTTAAGGGCTCCAACCCCCCTCGGTTTCTGCACACCGAACATTAAATGGTAACACTGCAGTGCAGAGGAGACAGAGGGTGGGTCATGGAAGACACCTTTTCACCCACATCTCGAAGAACAATAGTTACAGTCCAGGTAGGTAACCACTCTTCTTTGAGCAGGTGCAGATGTGTATTTCACTCAGGGGACTCACAAGCCAAGTTAGGGGGCAGGGCTCAGAGTCTACTTAAAGAATGACTGCAGTACTTGCCTTCCCAACATTTGCATCTGATCTAGATGCAGCCCTAAAAGCATAATGCTTGGTAAAAGTATGTATGGTAGACTAAGGAACTGCCCTGCAAACAGGGCCGGCTCTGGTTTTCTGACCGCCCCAAGCAAAAAAAAAAAAAACGCGGCGGCCAGAACAGCAAAGCAAAAAAAAAAACCTGGGGCATGGCTGGAGCCAGGGTGCAGGGGGACTCCTTGCCCTGCAGATCTGCCCTGGCTAGCGGGGGGAGGGGGAGGGGGAGGAAGCGGGGGGGAGAGAGAGAAGGGGGGTGGCCAGGGCTTCAGTGGGGTGCTGCCACGCAGCCATCCCGCCGTGCCCCCTGCCGGGAGGGTTCCACACCACTCCGGTCAGCTGGGAGGGAAGGACGCGGGCTGCCCTGCCAGGGTTGCTGCAGGGCGCTCCCGTCCTCCACGCCACTGCCCCCTACAGGGCGGCCGGAGCGGAACAAAAAAAAAAAGCGTCCGTGCCGCCCTAGGATTGGGCGGAATGCCGCCTCCTATAAGCTCCCGCCCCAAGCACCAGCTTGCTTGGCTGGTGCGTGGAGCCAGCCCTGCCTGCAAATGTCCAATATCAAAACATCACTGAGGAATCTGATTAATATTGCTTGGTCCCTTTTGTTCAGGCTGTGATTTCATTGTATGTATACCGAGCTCAGCCCTCCCTGTAGGCAGCACATGTGTAAGCGAGCATGTTTTACTACGAAGGTGGTGGCCACCATATGTCCCAGTAGTTGAAGGCAGGTGTGTGCATATACCCATGGGCTATTTGTGATCACTGATATGAGAGTGGTGAGTGCACAAATCTGGTCATTGGTAATGATGCTTTGGCCTCTACGGAGTCTAGGTGTGCTCCAATGAAGTCCAATTGTTGTACTGGTTTTAGAGTAGATTTCAGTCTCTTAGGTATCTTTAGCGCCCTCGTGGCCAAGATGGAGTCTGCTCTGCAGGCAGCTCTGGCCAAGAGAAGGCGCGCCCAGGAATGCAGCAGGAGACATTTTTTTTACCCCACGGGCACTCGTTCCAAACCCCCCCAGAGTGAACACACCCACCCACAGGAAAAGTACAATGGATATAACAAAGGGAAATATTTATTTACAGAGGGATGAGAGGAGAAATACAACAAGGGGAAATATAGGGGGAGCAGTAGAACAGGGTTTCATTTAAACCAAGGCCCCATGGGCCCAGTGGTAGCACAGTTTGGAAGGGCAGACACTGAGCAATGGGTCTACAAACTGAGTTCTGAGCAAAGTTTTAGTTCAGTGGTGAGTTTTAGGTGCTTCTGGTTGTTTTTGGCGCCAGTGAACTTTTTTTCAACAAACCCCTTTAGTGCCCTCTTTTGCCGCTCTCTGCAAAGCCACACAGAGCGACCACCTTTTTACTTAACTATTTAGCAACCTTCCTTTTTGTTTTTAATGCAGAGTCACAAGCCCCAGTACTCACAGCCCCATGCAGTTTTGGGCAGCCGTAGTACTGGGTCCAGCTTAGGCCTGTTTTTTTGGGGCGATTTTTTTTCTGGCACAGTGCTTCTTCTGGCTGCTGTTCTGGAGTGTTCCCGATTGGCTGCCCTGTTCTTTATAACCTTAGGGTGTGAAAGAGGATGACAGTCCTCTGGGTAATATTTACTGTTTCTGTTTGAGTAGGTCCTTTCAGTAGGCAGTTGTCTAGGTATTGGAAGATCAATATTCCCTGTCCGCACAAATGCACCACTACTACTGTTTTGGTAAAAACTCTAAGGGCTGTCAAAAGTCCAGAGGGTAGCATTCTGTATTGGAAGTGGTCTTTCCCTATTGTGAATTGTAGGAACCGTCTGCGTGCGGGATGGATGGTAATATGAAAGTACTCTTGTAAGTCGAAGGCTGAGAACCAGTCCTCCTTTTCCAGCGCTGGGATAATTGAGTTTAGTGTGACCATCTGTGGGTATGCACAAACTTGTTGAGTTGTCTAAGATCTAATATGGGTCTCCATCCACGGTTTTTGTTTTGAGTCAGGAAACAGTGGGAATAAATTCCCTTTCCCTTGTGTTGTGTTGGAACTTGTTCCACAGCACCTAGTTGTAGAAGATGATTAACTTCTTGTCGTAGAAGGTGCTCATGAGAAGGGTACCTGAAGAGGGACAGGGAAGGGGGATGGGTAGGTGGAATGGAGATAAAAGGGATGGTATAACCTGTGCGGATAATCTCTAATACCCAGTGGTCTGTGGTGATGGAGGCCCACATATGATAAAACGGTCATAGCCAATGACCAAAGGTCTGGGTTGTTTTGGCGCTGGTTGTCGGGGGAAGTCAGTCAGACCCTTGACCAATGTTTCAAAATTGCATCTTGGCTGATGATGCTTGGGATGCTGCAGACTGAGACTGGGAAAGATGACGTCTCTGTGGCCAGTGTCTTTGTCTCTGGTTGTCGAATTGTCTCTGTTGTTGTTGTTGCAATGTATTGTCTCTGTTGCGGGAGTATGGCTGGTATCTCCTCCTTCTCTTTGGGGTTGTGTAAATGCTGAGTGTTCTTAGTGTCGCTCATGAGTCCTTCATGGAATGTAGGAGTTCATCTGTCTTGGCGGAGAACAGTTTATCCCTATCAAAGGGGAGGTCTTCTACCTTAGTTTGAAGTTCCCTCAGGATTCCCAAAGAATATAGCCATGAAGTTCTGCACATTACTATTGCTGTTGCTTTTGTGCATGCGGCTGTGTCCGCAACATTGAGGGATGCTTTGGGTGCTGTTCTGGCTACAAGCTGTCCCTTGTTAATGATGGCTTGGAATTGTTACTTCTTGTCCTCTGAGATTTCATCGAGGAACTCGTTCAGTTTAGCGTAATTATCATGGTCGTATGTTGCTAGTAACACTGTGTAGTTGGCTGTGCGGAATTGCAGACTTGCCGAAGAGTAGACTTTCCACCCAAATAGATTTAATCTCTTCCAATCCTTGTCTTGGGGTGTGGATCAGGATTGCAGTTGTTCACCCCATTGGTTGGCCCCATCCACCACTAAGGAGTTGGGCTGGGGGTGCGAGAAGAGGAAGTCCATGCCTTTATTTGGTACATAATACTTTCTGTCTGCATGTTTGCAAGTTGGAGGGATGGTGGAGGGTGTTTGCCACACTGTTTCTGCTAGTTCCATCAATGCATCTGTGACACTGTATAAAGTATTGCAAGGAATCTGACCAGAGATGCCATGTAAGGTATCTGTGAAAATGTTATGATTTGCCAAGTATGATCATCTTGTTTATATGTTTGTATCACTTTGTATTGTGAGTTATAGATGTGTATGGTTGTGACGTTCCCCTCTGGTGTTATCTGGACCGGTCACTCCAATCATTGACTCTAGGAACCAGCCTTACCCTGCTCTGCTGTGAGAACCCCCACTCCTGGGTTGTTCATGCACAGCCTCTGGCATGTAAGCTGCTCCCAGCTATTTGCAAGCGAATTACACTAGCCAATATCTCCGATCCCAGACACAACCCTAGGAACCTCCCTCTTGCAGTGTCCAGTTCTGCCTGCTGGACGCCGCAAGCTTATATGAGTTCGTCAATTTAACAAAGAAATTGATATGTACCAGGCTTGTTGTCCCAAGGGGAGCCTCTGACACACTTCCAATCAAACGCACCGCTTCAGGTAGAATAAACAAACAAATGTATTAACTATAAAGATAGATTTTAAGTGATTAAAAGTCAAAGCATAACAAGTCAGAGTGGTTACCAAAAGAAAAGAAAAGATAAGCATGCAGTCTAAACTCTCAACCTTATTAGACTGGGCAGCAACTAGATTAAGTAGTCTTGTCTTCTTCTCAGTGTCTTGGTTGCTTGCAGCATAGGTAGGGGCAGGAGAAGGGCCCAGTATGTGTCCACTCTGTCTGTTTTATACTCTCAGTCCATTTGCTTGGGGAGCAAAAGTTTAGGCATGTCTGGAGGGCATTGCTGAGTCTCCCCAAGCAAGGTTGAGAAATTCCCCTGTTGTGGCCTCATTCAGGTGAGTTATTGCATTGTAGCTCCCTTGCTGGACAATGGTGTTGATGGGTTGTTTGACACCCCACCTGGGCGTTGGTTACTTTCCTTGCTGTTGCCTCTGGGGAGCTAATATCTGGTTGAGTCCCCAACTTACAGCATGCTTTAGTGACCACCATACAACACAATTCTCATAACTTCATATGCATTAATGATACGCAAATATGGATAGAGAAATGACTTTCAGCAGATCATAACCTTTCCCCGATACCTTACAAGGCATGCTTTATATGTAAGATCATGATTATATGAAAATGAGGAATATGGGGGTTACAGTATGCTCCCCCAAGGTATAGAATGGCACAATGGTATATCTGTATTTCAAAACTTGTGCTGTGTTTCTGGGTGACACCCCCAGACAGATTAGCATCAACAGTGCCTAGCCTGTTCGATGGCCCATCAAGGGTCATGAGCTGTAGAAACAACCCATTGAAAGAAGCCAGGGGCTACACCTTATGAGTCAGCAGGACTTGTAGGGGCATGCCTATGGACAGGGGACTCCAAGGTTTTTCCATGCCCTGTGCTATGAGTTTGTGTTTGGGACAAAGGAAATACTAAACACATGGCAAAGGATATAAAAGACAACTGCATCATCTCCATCTTGTCTTCAATCCTGCTTCCCACCTCTGGAGTAATTTCTCTACAAATTTAAGCTCTGAACAAAGGACTGAATGACCCATCCAAGCTGTGGATGTGTTCCAGAGGGACTTTCAAGCCAGCAAATTCACCAATACTGCTCAGAACCTGATATGTGGACTTTGAAGTCTCTGTATGTATCTGATTGTGTTACCATTTAAAAACTCCTTCTTTTCCTTTCTTTTTTCTTTATAATAAACGTTTAGTTTTAGCCACTAAAGGACTGGCTGGCAGCGTGGTATTTTGGGTAAGATCCAAACTAATATTGACCAACATACAATCCAAGAGAAGTGGTCTCCCGCAGCGACACATTTACACATCAACCTGCTTGAATTATGCGCGGTTCGCAATGCATGCAACCATTTCCTCCCAATAATACGGACCAAAACAATAAGAGTCATGATGGACAACATTGCATGTATGTTCTACATAAACCGACAGGGCGGAGCACGATCTCGCTCCCTATGCACAGAAGCCATAAAACTATGGAA